GCTCAGCTCAGGCCGGTAATCAAACCGCTGATGCTCAGAGCTCAAACTCTTGAGCGAGCTCTTAACCAACTGAGCCACTCGGCCGGCCCTAAATTTCTACTTTTAACTATGATTTGATTTGTGTGGAATCTCTGAGAACAGTTGGAATTTGGTTAATATAAAATCTTCACATGTAAAATTAGAGTATAATATTTCTGGATAGGAAAAAAATATATATCCCCAAACTGTACTTGAGGAAATCTAAAGGCTTTCTGGGACAGTTATTGCATACAGTTTTGTAATTTCATACAGTTTTGTAATTGAAAGTCTCTAAATCATAAAACCCATTCTCTGGTTCTGGAATCTACTTAATTTTTGGCAACCACTCTGCATAGGAAGGTAGAATACGTATGCATTGAAACTTTTTATAAAGTTACATAATGTACTGACAGTACTGTGTTTTAGATTTCAGATTTATTAAACATTAAAAATTATTAAGCATTAAAAACTTGGTGTGATTCATTAAGACATTCTGATGGTTCTTTAACTCTAAAATGATAGTGGTTATGTAGTAAGTTGTAAGAAAAATGATGCTCTATTTGGAAAAACCATGTTAAAAACAGTATGTTAAAAACGCAAATTAACTTTAGAATTTATTTGGTTATATCAAGAAAAACCAAGTATAAGAATTTGATATTCTCTGATTTACAGTTTTATATATAAATCATAATTATTTTTAAAAATTGGGTCATGCTCTCTAATTATGTAATTGCAGATAGCCTTTATAAAGTTGAAAGCTCCTTAGCAATATGAAGAGCTATTTTTCTTTCCTAAGTTATTTTTAAAATTATATTTTTCTAAGTCCTTTTTGGTTATTTCTGTATTAGTTTGGTTTCATACCTCAGTTGAACAGGGTGTTAATAACTTGAAAAAGTTAATTTTGAGGTAACAGGTTATTTTGATTTTCTTCCTCTTATAAGCTATTTGAACTGCTGGGACCTGATGGACTTGAACTTATTGAGAAGCTCCTCCAGAATAGAATTACAATTGTGGATAGATTTCTTAATTCTTCAAATGATCATAAGCTGCAGACTCTTCAAGGTAAGAAAGCATTTAGTGGTTAAGTGTAATTTAAAGGAGAAATTCATTGGTTAGCAAAATTTTTAATGTAATTATACTTTTAATATCATTTGGACTATTATTTACAGCTACTATCCTTTTAAGTAGGTTTTAGATACAGTTGATTAGGAAACAAATATCTATGCTCTAAAAAAGGGCGTTCTGGCAATGAGTCTATTTATGTGTAAGTATGGCCTCCTTTCTTGGCTGAAGAATTGAACAGAAACGGACTTAGAGACACAAAGAACAAACTTATGGTTGCCAGAGGGGAGGGGAATTGAGCTGGGTGAAAAAGGTGAAGGGATTAAAAAAATACAAATTGGTAGTTACAAAATAGTCATGGGGATGTAAAGTACAGCATAGAGAATATAGTCAATAGCATTGTAATCACTACCGGGGATACCAAAAAAAGGTATACAAGTGGACACTTTGGTCAACGTTGTTCAAGCAGTAGTTCTCCATAATCGGAAGTGTCTGGGCACTGGTGGTAACCACTTTGAGCACCTCTTGTAACTGCAGAAGCCAAACATGACTTGTATTCATCTTTTGTCATCGGTATATATTGAGTATTACAATTTTAATAGTTTTTTCCTTTCTTAAAATGTGTATACATACTTTTGGCACCCTCTTTATATGTATGTGTAGTGCCAGGTGGGTACTAGATTAATCAGGGGGGAATCACCACATACATTATTTAAATGTTTAACCACTATTGTGTACATTTAAAACTACTATAAAATAATGTTGGATGTCAAGTGTAACTGAAAAAATTTTTTAATGAACATGGATAGTACAATACAATGAACATTGCCTGCCCTTCATGTACATTCATCAGTCATAACATTTTGCCCACTTTCTCTTTCTCTCATTCTCTGTCTTCTCATTTTAATTCTCTACACACATGCATGCATGCACACATGTGTACACATATACCTACATTTAAAATGTTTACTGAACAATGACTGGAAGTTGTAGACACCCCAATACTGCACTATAAAATTTTCAGCATACATCCACAAACCGTAGTAGTCTCCTACTTTGGTACAATATAATTATCATAAGCAGCAAATAATTGAACATTTATATAGTCATGCATTACATATATTTTAAAACCACAGAAGAATTGGGGAGGGTTGTCTAGGAAGCCAAGATTATGCAAAATACCTGATTTACTACGGCAAAACTGATGCCAAACTCAGGTTTTAGGTGATAAGGAGGAAAACTGAATTTCTTACCTTTATCCCAGTGTTTCTTGCCATCCTTATAAATAGTTTGGAATTTTTTTTATGTGTATGTACATAAGAAATTAAACACCCTTCTTCAAACTAGTCCACATTTATCCTTCTATGTAAATTATGCCACCTCTTCCTTATATTTACGTGTATGGCACTAAAAGGAAATTATAAAAACAGCCTGGATTTAAATCCAAAATTGCTTATGTATTTCCTTTAATCCATACTTTAAGATTTTTAGAAACTTTGAGGAATTGAATTCAGCCACTTTGCCTTTCTATACATCTTTGGTTCTTTAAGTGTATTGAACACTTAAACTGCTTTGCTTTAAGAGGGCTCCCACCTGTTAAACAGTGCTTAATCCATTTCCTAAGCCAGCAGAGTCCAGGAGCATTTAAAATGGGTATCTGCCAGATGAACAGGAATGAGTTTAAATATCTAGTTCTGTGATGTAAATTCTAAGAATTTTAGTGTTCATTTTGTCAGCTTTCTAAGTGTTAATATAGAGATACTTACTAATTTCACCTTTTTAAAAAAATTCATCACCCAACTTTTATTTTTTGTATTTTTTATTATATATTTTTCAATTACAGTTGACATTCAATATTATATTACTTTCAGGTGTACTCACCTTTTACAAAAAGTTCAAAATGAGTCCAGCTTAACATATTTTTTTAGAAAACTGTAGATGAGAAATTAGTTTTGTCTTAAGTTTTATTATATTCATTTTTGTATAACACTTATACACAAAATTTATTCTATTAGGATAACTTTTTAGAAGCAACACACTTTTTAACCCCAAAACAAATATTAAATTTTAATTTTTTTAAAAAGATATTTGAACCATCGGTCTGTCCTGAAATATTTTCTCTTCTCAAACTACTTTTACTCTTTCATTCTATGTCAAATCATTATTAATGTTGCTACTATCCAAGAATAATAATTAATTACACCGTGGAAAGTTTGGGACATTTAAACAAATAAACTTTAAGCTTTTCCTTAAGTTTTTTTGGGGGGTTGGGGATGAAATACTCTTGAGGAAAAAAATTCTTTAGACTTTTGGTAGTTTATCACTGTTCTCATCTATTTATACCTTTTGATATAATTTTGTGTTAATGTTTCTTCAGAATTCTCTCAAAAATACCAAATTGTATTTTTATTCTTTATTGAACTACCTTAGTATGACAACCACATCCTTTTCTTTTCATTAGTCCAAAATCATGATCTTAGAGAACAATAGCTTCTTGCCATTAGCGTTTTATAGCTTTCATACTGATTTTCTTTGAATCCTTTTATCCAGATAATACACCACTTTATCTCTCTTCTTATAACCAGGAAATATAAGATAGGTGAGAAGTGGGTGGGTATAGTGTACTAACTGCTAAGTTGAGGATAGTTGTAATTAAAGTCTATTTTCAGGACTGATGTGGAGAATGTTTTGTACAGGGTATATCATAAAATGAAAATAAAGTTACCTCATACTGTCAAGCAAAAGTGGTTTGAGTAATTACACAAGTCGTCTTCTATGGTAATTACATTCTAAAAGGATGCAAGCTTCCCCATTGTTCTTTAGTAAAATTTTATATTAGAATTGCTATTAAGCTTATTCATTCCGTTTCTTCTACTTGTCAGTCTCCACAGTTAGTAGCTGAACCCATCAAGGAGAACCATAGATTTAAGCATTTCTGCTCAACAACTTGATTTTTTTTTTACTACTTATTATGTTCAATCTTATAGGACATATATTCTGTATATTCTAATTGAGGGCTTTTAAAGCTACCCATGAGGTAGACATATTTTTTTCTTACAATTTTAATTTCCTTATTTGGATGCTCACAAGTGCATATAATAATATTTTGTTATCACATTTGTTTAAAATATTGACATTAATGTAGTATTTAGTGTTTCAACAAAGGTAGTTTCACACACAGAATCTTTAACATTCATTTCTAATAAATACATAGCATTAGTCACATTTTTAAAAATTCTGTTTAATATCTGATTATGTGACTTTGCAGTTTAACTTTCTTTTAGTTCTGTGAAAGCTGTCCGTATGCTGCATTCTTTTTCTACCACTGAAAAAGGTTATAAATTCAGTCATTTTAATAGGTCTGTAAGACCTGTTCTTACTTAGAAGTTAAGCTGTATAAGACTTATTTAGAAAAATACTTTTTACAGAACTGTAAAATGTAGTAGTCCTAATATGGATGGTGTTATATCTTATGTCATAATTTTGAGATGTAATCTTATTTTCTCATTTTCCTTTCTGATACTTAATAAAAAGGCATTATACAGAGGCATTATTGCATGTGATTGACAGTTAAAATGACTTATTCAAAATCATGTAATGAGATAGTGACAGATGTCTGAGGATTGTGAAGATTTGACTTAAGATGATTTTAGAAAGCTAATTTTCCCATCTTGATGCTCTGCTTAATTCCTTCCTTGTTCTGCCCTGGCTTTTGGAATTCGATAAACTAACTTGCACTGTGTTCCTTCAGAGTATAGACCCAGTCTCATTCTTCATTTCCTTCCTGGCCTAGTTGCAGGGCCCAGAACCTAGGTCCTCAATACAATAATGTGTATTGACTTGGATTGCTTTTAGTGACATTCCTATCAGTTGCTTTAGGGCCACAGTGAGCCAAGATTCTACTACTTGGAAAGTAGAATCTACTACTTGGAAATTAAACAGAAGGTAATCCTGTTGGAAGAAAATTTTTCCTGAAGATTGAGTGGACCAAATCACAGGTTTAAATTGTACCTTGTAAACACTGAGCTTTGATTGACCTGGTTCCTCTTACTGGTTCTGGCCTTTTTCCATTTTTTAAAAAAACCTGTCTTTCCATGAAAAGGTAGACCGTACTCTTTCTGTATTTTCCTTGGTTACCTTCTAGATCTATCCAGAGCTAATGTTAATAAATTTTCTTTCGTGTTTGAATAAGAAGTAATATATATATAATTTAACATAGTAAGACCTATTACACAGGGAAAAGTTATATCTAATATGTAAAAACAATCTTTATTATGTTACTAGTAAATGCTAATTAGTATTGACAATTATTGTATTTATTGAAATTATGTAAATAGAAATTATCTCAAAATTATAAAATCAAATATTTAGGTTCCTGATGTTATGAGTAAGAAAATATAACATTAAACTGTTTCATCTATAGGAAGAAAATATCTGCTGACTTTTCTTAAGCCACTATATGATATCGTTGTGATAATGTGATTTAAAAAAATTTTCCTTAAAACATATAATTGAATGTGCCAGTTTTTATAAAAAATGAATTGTTAGAGCATTGTGCTATCTTATGTTTTGGTGAGGGGCGAAAATGTTTTTCATAAAGATTAAACTTATAAAACATGATGTTTTAAATTTGCTTTACAGACAATTGCAAAAAAATTTTAGGAGAAAATGCTAAACCCAATTATGGTTGTCAAGTTACTATTCACTCTGAACAAGAAAAGCAGTTAATAAAACAATATCGCCGAGAAGAAAAAAGAATTGCCAGACGAGAGAGAAAGGCTGGAGAAGATGAAGTTTTAGAAGGACCTATGTGCTTTGATCCTAAGGAATTACGGATGCACAGGTATTAAAAGCCAGAAGCTGAAAAATGCTTGTGTTGTAATTGCTACTTTTATGTATCATCATTTTTTTGGTTTAGTTTTAATAATTTATATGGTTCTTACTTCTAATCACATTTTCTTACAAGAATAGAATTTTGTTGTATGAAAACCTAATTTTCCAGGATCAGAAAGCAATGATCTGCTTAATTAGAATATTCTTTGTTGCATCCACGTAGCTGACAGATTTATGATAGAGGTAAGCTATTTTTAGTTGCTTTGCACATACCACTTTGCACAGGTTAATATTTATGAAGCCTACACAAATTTAAGACTTTGGTTTTTTTTCCTAGCTTAATAAATACTTTTTCCCATGTTGTTATTTAGAACTAGAAAGGATGCAGATGAAATAAAGGCATTTATTACACTTGGTCTTTAAATATTGAAACCCATTTTTAAAAAGACATTTATACCTTGTTAAAAACATGATTGGATTCTGACAAACAAAATTATAAATAAAGAACATTTAGTCAAATTTACCAAATGATGTTACCTAAAAATGTGTTCATTCCTATGTGGTTTTACAGAAAATTTTAGGATTTCTAATATCATCCTTTATATAGTTTCATTTCTTCTCTTTTATAATGGAAGACTACCTGACACAGTTATTATAGTGACCTTATTTTAGTATATGTTTTCCTTTGCAAGATAAAAATGTCAGATTCAGCCTATTGTTTTTGTATTTACAGAGAGGAGGCACTTCAGAATGCTAGAAGTGCTCCAATTCTGAGCAGACAGAGAGACATGGTCTTTGAAAAGATACGTTATCCCCATGTTTATGATTCCCAGGCTGAAGCCATGAGAACGTCAGCATTCATTGCTGGTGCAAAGGTATGTCATTGGAACATGGCTACTTTGGGATAATTATTTGGGGAAACGACACATAGATTTTCCCTGTTTTCCTTTGTGACTATTACTAGTTGACTATACTATGCTAAATTGTATTTAACAGTAGTACTGGGAAAAATGAGATAATGCAGTGTATGTAAAGTTTTTGACACATAATAGCCATACAGAACATATTTGTTCTTCTCCTTTTTGTTATTTATGCAACTTGTATTTTTGCATTTTAGCAGATGTATCACTTTTTGACTAAACTTTAAACAGTATATTGCACATTTTTTCCTAGCTGCGTGAGCACATCTTCAAGAATACTGTCTAATTAACGTATACTTTAAGAGTCACCAAAATATGGTTCATGTGTTATATATGAGATACCTGATATATGAATGCTTTGTGTGAATGTTTTCTTTTTGTTTTCATTAAGCTTCCTTTCCTTTAAATTAACTGAATGTATTTCCAGTGCTATGTCATAAAGCTAGTAGTGTTCTTTTGCATACTTTCTCTTTCTTTAATGAGTATTTATTATAAAGCATTTGTTTTAGTTTTATTATTATTGGATTTTAATTTTTGATGTTTATAGATGATTTTGCCAGAAGGAATCCAAAGAGATAATAACAAGATGTATGAAGAAGTAAAGATTCCCTACAGTGAACCAATGCCAATTGGCTTGGAGGAAAAACCAGTTTACATCCAAGACTTAGATGAGGTGAGGTGATCATTTTATAGAGTTGAAATTTTTGATGCTTGGTATGTCATATGAATGGATTTGTATTGGAAAAAATATTTTTAAAAATCAGTTAGTTAAGGGCTGGCTGAGGGGCTCAGTTAGTTAAGAGCTCACTCAAGAGTGCGAGCCCTAAGCAACAGGATTGCCAGTTCGATTCCCACATGGGCCCGAGCCGAGCTACCGCTGAGCTGCCAACAGGTGGCAGGATGGCTCAGCTAAAAAAAAAAAATATATATATATATATATCAGTTAATATGGTAAAGAGACATATGGGCACTAAAGATGTATAGTAGGGGGAGTTCAAATTTTAAAAATGTGTATATACATACATTCCTTTACACATTAAACATATTTATGTACATTTTTGTATATATATTTTTATAGCTTCATGTTTATTTTGGTTATTTCAATTAATATTTTGTCTAACCTATGTAAACTGACTTCAGTAAAATGGTTTAGAGGATTTGTGTGCTGTATTGATATATCAAATGGTCACCCTATCATAAAATAGAATATTATTTGGGGAAGGGGCCACCAAATTCTAAACTATTTTAGTTTATTTTCCCTCAAATTTAAAGTTTTGAATAATTTCAGACCTATGGAATAGTTGCATGAAATAGTACTATCAATGTACCCTTTCTCTTTATTTACCATTTGTTAAGTTTTTGCCATATTGGCTTTGTCTCAAAATAAAAATATTTCTTAATTTATTTTAAAGTATACATATTATTTAAAGTCAATCTTTTCTATAACCAAAGTGAAGTTGATTTATTTATATATATATATATGAATCATATGTAGTCATTCAGAAATATCAAATAATAGGCAAGCAAGCAATAAAGCAGCATAAACAATAACCACAGCCAACCCATAGTAACTCCATTCTATACATAGATGTGCATGTGTATTTTGGTTTACAAAAATTTGATTTCACATATTGTTTTGTATGTGTTGTATACATGCTTACATATCTATGTCATTTAGACATTTCTGCAGCATCATTTTTATTCACCATGTACATTTTATGCCTTTATTACAATTTTTTTATTGTTACAATTTTAAGTTGTTTTCTACAGTAAGTTTTTATAGTAGACTAAAATTGTAATTATATCTTGTATTAATGGGTTTCATTCCGTGAGTCAGAATTACCTGTAGAACTTTATCAAAATCCAAATGCTTTCGCCCCTATAATTTCTTGGGAGGGGTCAAGACATCTATATTTTGAAGATGATTTTTAGAGCTCTGTATGTGATTCTGAAATGAAGCCAGGGCTGAGAGCCTATATAATGAAATAATTATATACATAATTCTTTTTAAACCTTACCGATCATTATAAGCATTATTATTAAGATTTGTTTAGTGTTTATATTAAATACTAACATTTTTCATGTAAAAGCATCATTGATGTTGAGTGTCTATGTAATGAATGAAACAGACTTATTTTTATTTCATACTTACTTCTAAATAAGTACTTCATTTTTATTTAGATTATAGGAATAAAAGAGTTTTTCTGAGTGGGTTAAATCCATCTAAACCTTAATGTCTCTCTGCCATGTAACCTAATATATTTACAGGTTCCATGGATTAGGATGTGGACATCATTGGGGATCACTATTCTGCCTACCACACGATATGGAGGACCACAGTTTAACTATTACCTGTTAAAGGACATCTGTGTTGTTTACAGTTTGGGGTTGTTATGAATTACATAAGTCCACTCAGGCTGCCATAACAAGATTATCACAGACTGGTTAGCTCAAACAGAGACATTTATTTTTTTCACAGTGGAATCTAGAAGTGCCAGGTTAGGGTACAGGCAGATTTGGTTTCTGGTGAGGACCATCTTCTTGGCTTGCAGACAGCTGCTTTCTCACTGTGACCCTATAACCTCACATGGACTCTTCTCTGTGGGAGCACAGATAGAATCTTTGTTGTCTCTTCTTCTTATAAGGACCCCAGCCCTGTTGGATGAGGGCCTCATCCAGGTGACCTCATTTAACCTTAATTACTTCTCTAAAGGCCTTATCTCCAAATATAGTCACATTGGGGGTTAGGGCTTTAACTTATGAATTTGGGCAAGGGGATGTGAATAATTCCATCTATAACATGGGTAAAGCTGCTGTAGACATTGGTGTACATTGGTGTGAGCATACATTTTCATTTCTCTGGGATAAATGGCCAGTAATACAATTGCTGGGTCATATTGTAGTTGCATGTTTAGTTTTCGAAGAAACTACCAAACTTCTTCCTAGAGTAACATTTTATATTCCCACCAGCAATCTAGTGTGATGTAGTTTCTCCACATCATCACCAGCATTCAGTGGTGTCACTTTTATTTTTTTAGCCATTTTAATTTATATTTTAAATATGTATTATTTATATTTATATTTTAACCATTCTGATAGTGTGTAGAGATTTCTCACTGTGGTTTTAAATTGCACTTCCATAAGGAGTAATACTAATAATTGGGGAATTATTAACACACTCAATATTTGGGAGTCGGGAGGAAAAAGAAACAGAGCAATAGAAAGGGGGAGGGGAGGAGCTAGAGGAGAGGGATGAAGAGATACAGAGGAAGAGAAAGAGAAAAGAGAAATAATAAAGAGAGAAACAGATGGAGAAGGAGAAAAAGACAAAGGCAGAAGAAAAGGTCTGATGACATCATATGAATCTGTAGTCCAGCTGGGCACACACGCAGCTTTACTCCTGCACATTCCGGTTAGAAAAGCCCATAGATAGTCTTCTTTGGCAAGGCTTGCTTTGACTGACTTTTCCAACTTCCAACTGAGTAAGTCCTGGCTAAAACAGAAACCCATCCAAATTTTTTACATTATTATTCGCTTTCCAAGAATGTACAAAACCCAGTTAATAGCATTTCTGCACATTTTATAATTTTTATAATTTAAGAATTCTCTTTATCTTTTTAATCAAATTACAGAAGTGATTTAAGAAGAGAGAACAAATTTACCCAATGCAACATTTGGTCAGGAAGAAGACATAAAAGCACTTTATCTATAGTTCTGTAGGGCTGTGCAATTGACATGCAATGATGATTTCAGTGAAAAGAGAAAGATACCATCTTCAAGAGCACTTTTCTACTTTTTCTAAAAAAGATCCAAGCCAACAGACGCATGAAGTAAATTAACATCCTGTTAACACCTATGTTTTCTCCTGAGGCCTGTTTCACATTTATGACATCTGGTGGATCATTATCTATAATGATAAGACCTCAAATAGTTTATTTATGTACTTATAATCACACATTGAACAAGTTTAGGCAGTTTGATTATGATGTGAACTCTGTATTAGCTTTCTGTTATTATATAAGAAATTACCAAAAATTTAGTGACTTAAAATATTCACTTATTACCTCGTAGTTCTGGAGGTATAGACTTGACAGGGTTCTTTGTTCAAGATTTCACAAGGGTGAAATCATGGCGTTGGCCTGGCGGAACTCTTACCTGGAAACTCTGGGGAAGCTCATTCAGGTTGTTGGTCAAATCCATTTCCTTGCAAATGCAGAACTGAGGTCCCTGTTTCCTTGTTGTTGGCCATTCTTCCTTTCTAAAGTTTGCCCACATTCTTTGGCATGTGGCCCATTCCATCAAATCTCTGACTTCACCCGACAGTCAGAAAAACTCCCTGACTTTAAAAGATTCATGTAGGTCAGACTCACCCAGAAAAACTTCCAGCCTAAAGGTCAACTGTACCATATAGCATAACCTAACCAAAGGAGTAAGTCCATTACACTTACAATTCTGAGGTTTATGCAGGCTTTTTATACTATGGAGTTAGTAGTGGGGATCAGGAAAGAAATCATGAGAGCCAACTTAGGATTCTGCCTACCACTGCTATGGTGTGATTTTCTTCAGGTTTTGGGGTGTGTGTGTGTGTGTGTGTGTGTGTGTGTGGCATCTTGGATCTGTGGTTTTATAGTTTTCATCAAATGGCGGAAACTTCCAACCATTAGTTTTTATAAAATAATTTTATGTCCCTAATCCCCTTTTCAGGAACTCTCTGAAAGAGATTAATAAATTGCATTCCAAAATAAGTCATTATCCAAGGAAGGAAAAACTCCTGTGCTCACAGTTACAAATTATTAGAAAAGGGAGACATATTAGGGTTCCCGAAGTTGTCACATTTACTGATGTTCTCTTAACCTTTTTGGGGGGAGATGGGGGGGTGTATTTTTCTCTCTTGTAGTTTCTATTGCCTTGTCTTCACATTCAGTGATCTTTTGTAATGTCTAAAATATTGTTAGTCCTATCGAGTGTGTTTTTTTTTAAATTTCAGTCATTGTAGTTTATTCTCTAGAAGTTTGATTTGGATTATTTTAATATCTTATATGTCTCTACTGACACAGTCATTTCTGTAGCTTAGGAGTCAGCAAACTTTCTGGAAAGATGCGGATAATTATTTTAGGCTTTGTAGACTACATCAGCTCTCTGTTCTGTAGTTATTATTGTCTTTTTTTTTTAATTAGAATACCCTTTCAAAATGTAATAGGCATTCTTAGCTTATAGGCCATAAAAAAGAAAAACAAAATAAGAAGTAAAAATAGGCCTCTGGCAAGATTTAGCCCACAGGCCATACTTTGCTCACCCCTGCTCTAGCTTCCTTTTTTTTCTTTTTTTTTAAATTAAAGTGTATTGGGGTGACAATGGTTAGTAAAGTTACATTGTTAGTAAAGGTTTCAAGTGTACAATTCTGTAATACATCATCTGTATATCACATTGTGTGTTCACCATCCAGAGTCAGATCTCGGGGGTTGGTAGATGAGGGTAAATGGGATCAAATATATGGTGATGGAAGGAGAATCGGCTCTAGCTTCTTGAAGGTTTGTCATGTGTGATATTTCTGGATTGGTTTAATTGATGAATATTTCTTATTTTTATTGTAATATTTTGTCTGCATTTTAGCATGCTTGACCATTTGACTGAATGTCAGACATTTTTATTTTACTTGTTGAGTGTTGGATA